CTGTTAGCCACATTCAATCATGTGTTGTGGGAATGTGAAGCCATCGGCCCCGCCCTCAGCGAGGACAGGTGGGCTGCGCTCTTACGCAGCCCCGACCTGTAAGGATCAAACCTTGGCCGCCCAGAGTGCCCGTGAACGGGCCGCCAAGCTCGGCTTGACGGTTCCTATACGTGGGATTAGCCGGGTGGCGCGGGGTCTCCCCTGCGTCTTCTCAGGACAAAAATGAAGTTTTAGTCAATCAATCAATCTTTTCGCAAACCGCACTTGATCAGCGAGCAACGATCGGCAACTAAGCGCAATCGTTCCGGTCAAAGTCGAAAGCGCGCGATTTTCCCCACCGAAGGATAAGCTCGCGCATACAAGCATGTAACCGCCCTCTTCATGGTGTGAAATTGGGCGTACGAAGTTGAACATATAAAGTTTACGGATTAAACAGGACATAAAAGAATCTTGCATAATGCATGTCTACCACATTGATAATGTCTGCTTTAAATCTGTTTCTTTTACGAATATCTTGGTGTTCTTATCAAATCTGACTTCACCTGGTATATTCATTATTACACGTGTAACTAATGCAGCCAATAAAATATTAGGCTATCTGTATGCAACTTCTCTCACTGCCATTCACTGCTAAAACTTATGCTAGTATATAAAATGCTAATTTCTTCAAAGTTTTAAGTACGTATAAGATACTGGACACGAAAACTTAAAGCTTACAATGGAAATAGTATGAAAAAATTCCATCATTTTCAACTCTTGAACTGCAACAGGAGGGCAAGCATCAGCACGTTGATATCTAATCTGCAATCATCAGCCTTATCTTACTGTAAATTCACAAATTTCTACCATACACATAAACTATTTCGTTATACTGCTGAAGTTCTTATTGGCACTTTGTCTCCAAATGCGGATTTGGAGACAAAGTGCCTCAGCTTGACATCACCTTTAGAGTGCAGCTCTTACGTGCTTGTTCCTCTTTTAAGTGTGATCCCCGATTGTCCCTTATCATAAACCAGTGAACCAGCGCAGCAGAAGATCTCGTGGCTCATGTGCCATAAGTCTAGCAGTGTAGGTCTTTGAACTTGTCACAAACACAAGGAGAGTAGTAAAAAACTGGGCAGTAAAGCCTTAAGGAGTTGTGCAAGTTATCTTTTCTCAATAATGAAGGGAGAAATATATATTAAATAAAATTTGAACATATAATTTAAATAGGCAAGTGCGAACATAAATTACAAAATAAAGAAAATGCAAAAGAAGAAAAAAGCAATTTGGGAGAACGGAAAATCAGGAGTATATATTGATTTTATAGCCTAATAATTTTGAACATTTAAACATACTTGAGGCAGTTTTTTAACTTTGTCAGCATATTTAAGCACACTCCTGCATGGTAAAAATGTTAAAAATTTTGTAGGCCTGATAGCATAAAAACTTCTGCCTGCATCTTGTCATAGTCATTCTCTCTCTTTTGAATATGTCACAAACTCAAGCCAAGCTTCACGTTAGGCTTCACTGTGCCAACAATGTACTACACTTTTGAATTTGATCTAGTTGGATAGGTACCTTTTTTCTGCTGGGACCACTTAAAACTGCAGCATATCACTCATTTACTCTGACCAACATTGACAATGATACACATATGTTTCGATAGGCAACGAAACTCCTTTTCCTTATAGTATTTCCATACTCTGAACATCATCACACCATACATAGAAGCCTAATACAGTCACAAGTTGCATCTTGCATATCCTTGCATTAGTATTTGAAGTGGATTAATGCAATGTGTTCATAGCTTTTGTAAAATGTTGCACTGCTTAGGAGTGTTTTAGTCTGCCTCAGTAGAACAGTGGCTAGGGTGCTCAGCTACTGACCTGAAAGTCGCCGGTTCGATCCCGGCCGTGGCGGAAGCATTTCGATGGAGGTGAAATGGTAGAGGCCCATGTACTGTGTGATGTCGGTGCTTGTTAAAGAACACCGGATGGTCAAAATTTCCAGAGCCCTCCTCTACGGCATCTCTCATAATATTATCATAGTTTTGGGATGTAAAACCCCAGATATGATTGTTATTAGTGTTTCAAAAAGCCATGCTTCTCATTGTATAAGATTACTGTGCGTATATGAACAACAATGATAGTAGCAGATTTTTTATTATTAAAAAAAAAAAACTCATCAGCCTACCATGGTGGCTCAGCAACTATGGCTCACACAAGGGCATTGGTGCAATTCCCAGCCACATATTGGGAAGATTTTGATGGGGGGTAGTTTAGAATGTCTATGTGCAATAAGATTTAGGCACACCAGGTGGTCAAAAATTATTCCACGATCCATCACTACAACATGCCCCATAAGAGTACTGTTATTCTGGCTCATAAAGCTCCAGAAATTACAAAGGAGAAATGCCAGACCTGTATGGCACGCTCAACACTGTCACAGCGAAGCAGTTTTTATAAAGCCTGTTATAAGCTCTCTTGAGCAGACCACTACACCATAAATAGGGTCATTTAGTGAAAAAAGTTGGGACAGAAGGAGTGGTATATTAACGTAGGGAGCCAGCAAAAACAGTTTTCTTTATTGTTGTAGCCTCTTGAAGTGGTACTTGAGCTGCCTACATGCAGCTTGCAACACTCCCTCTTGCTGAATAATGTATCCGTAAAAGTTGTCACACTTCACACGGAAGTTCAGCCTAAATGGCAAAAGCCCTTTGCAGTCACCATTAGCTTCTGAAATTGAAATTTCTTCGTGCGAGCAATTCGTGCAAACGTTGTCTTCCATAGCGTTACACGTGTTGTTGGGTGTGCATTGGATTGCATAATTTTTAACTGAACGATCTAGAACAAATCTGGGAAGCATAGCTGACCCGACAGGAATAACGTGGTATGCTGAATGAAAAGTTGGGCCAATGCCGCAGTAAATCATCACAATTTTGCAACGTAGGCAAGTATGAGAAGCAAGGTACCCACTACACATCTATAAGGCATCATTTGCACATTGCTGATGCTGTAGCACATTACGATGAAAAGTTATGACTGAGCCGTATCTACTGAATAAGAAGCTTTAAATCACTCATTTGTTATGTAATTTCCATTGTGTTATGCCTGGTGGGATTTTCCTCTTCTGCCATGCTATACTACATCTGTTAACGAGACTCCATTCGATAATTGATGCCTATATAGGGCTTTTCTGCAAAGCAGTTTCAAGCACAGGTGTGGCTGTATGGTAGAATACTCAACTGCCACGCAGTGTGCCTGGGTTCTGATCTTGCTCATTGTAAAAAATGCATCACAAAGATTGATTTAATGGCATCGTTTATTTCAAGTGCAGTGAACTCTTGCTTGAGTGAGCTTCAAGGAACCCAAAGAAATAGTTCACTTTTACTGAAAATTCAGTTGACTGAATATTCACTAGAATAGCATTCGGTGTAGCATATGTCGTCAAAAGTTTGAAATGCATTTTATTTTGAAAAGAATTCCGTAATTTTCATTTGGACTGGTGTCCTCAAAGTGCAAAAAGAAACAAATCTGTCCAGATAGTACATTTCTATACACTGCCTCGGGTACAGCTTACTGCAGCGATGAGAAGTCTCGCAACTTTCTGATATATCCCACAGCGTCGGCTAGAGATGCAGGATTTGAGCCTGCTTCAGTCAATACTTCTTCATTGCACTCCTTCTTTCGGTTTCTGACAAACACTGGAAGCAATTTTTAAATCCAATAGTTTTCCACAGGTACTGCAGCGCACATGGCTTGTGTTCATCTGCTGCATGGCTGCTTTGCCTCGGCAGTGCTGCATGCAAAAATTATGTTGCACTATCGCCGATGAATGGGTGATTTGGGGGCGGCTCGTGTCATCTTCGTCAGTGGTGCAGAATGCAGAACTTTATTGAACTGATCTAAAAAATGAGCCCCAGTTCACAGATAAAGTTAATTCAATAGAAATATTCACGATTCAAAAATTCATTTAACAGGAAGAATGTTGCATAGAATGCATAGGAAAACCACCAGAAATTTTCTAAAAGTTCATTATTCTTAAATATTCGTTAAACTGACATTTGTACAAGCGAGAATTCACTGTACTTTCAGAGTGCTTTGGCAATTACTGCAGCCATGCAAGACAATTTCAAAGCTACATTAGCAGAATAATGGGGGCTAATGGTCAAAACTACTGGATAGTGCAGACTCGACACAGGGCCAAGAAAGAACACTGAAGCAAAGAAAAAGTGCTACTCACAGCTTGCTGTGTTGTGTTCAACATTTTATCAGTGCTCCAGTGTCCTTTCTTTTTTGGTCTTGTGTCAAATCTGCGTTATCCAGTATTTAAGGCTATGAAACACTAGCCCAGCAACAAATTTTGTTGAGATAATAGTCAGAACTTGGCTTAATCATTTAGAGCACCTGCAAATACTTGCAGCAAAGCCTAAATTCTGTTTCTCACGACTTATGAAATGCTACTATGGTGCTAACAATATTGCAGAAATTTTATTACAGATTCACAGCACAGGAGAACCAAGACAAGTGAAAGAAAAGATCACATAAAATTTTCCTAATGATACTGCCTTCTCCTGCCTTAAGCACTCCAAAGTTTATTATTAAAAAGTAGAGCTGTAGTGACCTAGTTTTTATGACTTACCCGCAAGCATTGTGCTTAATTGGCTGAGAACATGTACAGTGTCACTCAATATAAGATGCAACACAGTAACGATGGTTGAAGGGGCCCCAAGCCTACACTGTAACACCGAAAATTCGAAATTAGTTTTGGAAATAACAGTCGTTGAAGCAGTGTTTATGTCAGTGACTGTTGTTTTATGTTGTCGACACCATGCAGTGTTGGTGCTGCTTTGACCATGGGCAGCATGTTACAACTTATATTGGGCCCGACTGTTTCTGAATATTAAGAACGATAAAGCATTAATGAAACGAAAACAAAACCTAAAAAAAGTTATTTTCTTGCTCTTCTTATGAACTGTGTAGTGGCTCTGTGAGACTTCATACAAGTCACAACAAAGCTTGATTCAACAATTCTTTATTGTATCATGTTTTATTACAGTATAAAGGCATAATTGGTAGTGTACACAAGTTTACAAGTATACACATGCCACAAATTAATTACTGAAGTTCTTCCAAATTATGCACATGGCCTTCCCGACTATGAACAAAACAAAAACTTTGCGAAGCACATTTTAAAACAGTATCTCTATATGCTTGGATATTCTAATACACTTTCACCACTTAGGTATAAATGTTTTTTTGTGTGTGAATGTGTTTAGTAAAATTGCGTGTCCATCCTCATTTAAAACTGTGATTTGGCAGTAGCTTTTATTATGTTTGTTTCATAAGGCAAGGTCTGACATCATGACTTGTTTATTACTCTCTAAAGCTTGTAGTAAGATCATGTGCTACGTGACACCAAGAGGCAAATAATGAGTGTCCCACACTCGCCACAGTGGCTACAGGCGGCGCTGATTGACACTTCCACGTTTAAATGCACATACACACCACATAAAGTGAACAGGGAGATAGCCGCCGTGGTGGAACAGGACGGAGACGAGAAGACAAAAACACGGCGCTGTGTTTGACTCTTCTCATCTCCACCCTGTTGCAGCACTGTTACTTCTTTCTTTGTCAGAGTCAGAGTATACAGTTGAACCAACACCCTCTAAAAATTCTTCAGGCCTGTTCACATCCTTTTTTCCTCGCGTGCTACATCACGCCAGGGGCCCCTCAGAAAAACTGGAAAAACGGCTGGTGACGCTGCAGCCTGCCCGCACGTGTGTTCCCGGCGTGCTTGTACAGGCAAGTCAGTGCGTGTTTGTAAAGCTGCTGTACAATTTGCGTTCTTCGTGCCGTGTGTTCTTCGTCAATTTGGTATTTTTCGTGTCCCTGTGAGTGTTTTTTTTCCGGCGAACACGTGTTAATGCACGAAGTGACGTTTGGTGTGAATTGCATAACATCGCAACGATTGCAAGTTCATGCAACATGGGCCAGTGTTGTGTTCCTGGGTGCTGCAGAAACTATGACAATCGGCCAAAAGTGCACACATATTCATTTCAAAGTGATAACACACAAAAAAAACTGTGGCTTCGAGCTATCCTATGAAAGGATTTCATGCCAACAGTGTATTCAAAGGTAAAGAATTCCAACATTGCTTTATCAAGTGTGTGAATCTTTGTTCTTCGCTGCGACAGCTTTAATTGTCTAAAGGAAATATTTTTTGTACATAATGACAATACTTCAACACAACGTCGAAGAAGCATGCATTTATCGTGAATAAGCACCGAGTAGAGGAGTGCATTTGTAAATTACCAGTGCTAAAAATAATATTCTTTTCACAGTATAACAAAAATAACCTCTCTTTTGCTCTTACTGCCATAAACTATGCCTGGTTTATAACCATCCATAACCATCCTGCAAAGCCAAGCGTGTTATGTAGCAAGTTATTGTGACAATAAAAATAGAATTATCATAATGAAATGTAAGAAATAATATATAAGAAGCCAAGAACAAAAAAATGTAATTTCCTTTCATCGCAGATGTTGAAACTCGCCTTCGAAGGGGGTTTTATTTCCTCCCTTTCTTTCTTTCTTTCTTTATTTATTTTTTAAAAAGGATTAATCGTAGGCACAGTACCTGCCCGGCCTATGGATCTTAAACTTCATAGTATCACGTTAAAAAAAACCTGTTGCTATGCTACATGTATCACTGTGCCGTTTTTTTTTTTTTAATGAATGAACTCCTGAGTATGCCTCAGCTAAATAATTATGGAGGAACAGCTATTCACAGGTTATATATATGCGCAGTGTGTTTCAAGTGTAGCGAACTTATAACAGCCACCATTTTTTTTTTTTTTGCGCATCCAGATTTTTAAGATGCATTTCTATACAGATCTCGAGGATTCTCTAATGACACTGTCACATCAAAATTAACGAACAGGAGAAATGATGGAAGTAGAATAGGAGAAACGCAAGCTGAAGCACAATGTTGTACTTTCTGTCTTTCAAAACTGTGCAAAATACGTGTCCTCAAAGCCAAAACGTCGTGAATTGCTAGCAAGGATCATCGCAAGAAGGGAGAGCACTGCTTTGCAAGAAGCTCTAAAAAAATCTAAAGAGAAGTTCTAAAGGAGCTCTGAAGGCTGCAGCATGAAAATCAGCAACACTGAAGAAAAAGTGATGTTCTAACGGAATAAAGCTTATCTGGTCTCATATGGTATCTTCTCACAAAAGTAAAACTACATGCAAAATGCTCCACTTGTGCCCGTGAAAGCTTCTCAAACACATGACATAGTATTTCACACCCATCACAGACTACTAAAACACCAGTAGAAGCAGGCGCGACATTCCAGAATACCAGAACGCAGCGCCTGCGTGGGCCTATGGGGTGACGTCATGCATTATCGGAAAGGCTTTAGGAATCTAAGTGGTGTTCGTGGAACCTTCTCTATAAAAGACATAGACGTAATAGACAACTGGATATAATACACACAACTAAAGAACATGATTGGCCCAATCTTTCCCTTTATTTGTTCATCATTTGTAATGAACACTGGACATAAAAGACAATTGGTCAAAAAGGGCAAGTTATTCCTCAATTTCGGTGAACAATCTCACTTGCAACAGAAATCAACTTTAACACACTTCAAGTTCACAATAATTGGCTGCTAACTGTTACTGTAACTATTGTGGAAAGGAAATGAAATGACAGAGACATGCACTCAGTCTATACTATAACGTAAGATAATGCAGAGTGGGTGAGTTGGCTGTAAATTGAAAAGAATTATGTGCTGTAGGAATCTATTAAACAGAAGCGCTTCACCCTTTCGAAGGATACAAGTGCGAAGCATGTGTGGTCATCTGTCTAGCTAAGAATAAGCGGTAGTGTGGTGGGCTCTGCCATTAGCGCAACTCCCAATAAAAAAGCATTCATATGTTGTGCACATGTTGTGCACAACATATGCAGAGTGCAGTGTGGATATTACCTTTTATGATCCATTAATGACAAAGCTACCTGTCAAGTGCAAGCGGAGCAATCAGCTACACCTTGGCTGGTGTAAAGAGGCCACTGTGCGAACTTCTCAGCAAGTGAAACAATAGCCAAGTACCACGAGAGTTCAGCAGGAAAAGACATGGATTGTGCTTCAGCCTATCCACCAAGCAAATTATGTAATAATAGAATAAATAATATATAATAAACAAATCACAAAAAACATAGCCTACTTTTGTGCATATTTTAGACGTAGTGTGCCAACATTGAAATAAGGGTAAGTCAGAAAATGAGAACATGGGACCCTGTTTATAAAATGCTCTTCATATAAGAGACATGAAGTGCCCCCTGGGGCATGTCTCTTATAAGGTATTCATCTTTAATTACATTTAAGTTAGCATATCAGCTAACAAGTGCACCAACAAGAAATTATGTCACAAAGTAAAGAGCTTTCAAAACAATAGAACAATACAAACAGTTATGCCCCACATGAATATAAACTGCCAAACATGCATCGCATAATTTTTCAATGAGAGCCAAGTGAAGCTATTTCTATCAGTTACTTTATCAAAAAAACAGTGTTACTGCAATCAGAATGATGAAATCAGAAATGAAAATGCTCTGATAGTGTTTGGCCATATAGTTGCATCTAGATTAAAAAAAAATGAATATGACTGAACTGTATAGCATTAAGCGATTTTCAGAAAGAACTGATTTTTAAAGGGATAAAATTGAGCTGCACGTAAAACAAATCACAACTATTTGCCATCATAGGAACATTTGTGCACTGAAAATGTTGACACATACGTTATCTAAATGGCAAATTTTAATCACAGTCTGTATACATGCAATGTGCATAAGCAAAACATCTTCAAAAAAGCATCTTCAAAGTCCCATAACCATAAAATAAAAACTTATTTGAACTGTTTACAATTCATTGTTATATACCTACAATTTCATGCAGGATACTAATAAGCTTGCAGATTCCAAAAAGGTAATTTTTGTCTAATTCAGACGTGGGAAAAACATGAGCAAAGTCAATCATTTTGGCAACACAATTTATCTTTTGACCATTAGAGCTCTCAGACAGAGAGTCATACACAATCAAGAGTGAACTCGAGTAAAATGCATAAAAACGCTGAGTCTCAAACCAGTGCTTGATGTGTTCTAGTTGAAGTAATAGGTCAGGCAGAAACTTTGGGCTATTCGGCTGTTGACGTGTCATGCCAAGGAATGTCTTAAAGGCTGTAAAAAGGGCACCCAGAAATAAAATAATATTCTAAATTAGTTAAAGAAAGATTAGTTAAAAAAAAGCCTAATTAGCAAAATTGATGCAATCGACAAGCTGAGGGGGGGTCAAAGTTAATGTTTTCAAATTATAACTTGGGATACAAGGAATGAAAGAATTTTGAAGGGCCTTTTTTGATTGTAAGTAGGCTAAATGAGCTCTAGTTATAGTAGTTGACTATACACACCATAATTTCAAACAGTTGTGCTTGCAGACAAAACTGTCAAGTCTAGATTTCAACTTTTACCTTGAATTAATTTTCTATATTCATATAACAAACCTATAACTAAACATTCTGTGAATGGACACAAAATTTTTATTGTAACTTAGCAATATTAAGTCAAGTGAAGTGTCCCAACTCAACTTGATCTGGTGGCTGTGTTCATACTTGTGAACATTGGCTATCAAAAAGCAAATATTACGTATGTCTGAGGTGCAACATCAAATGTAAGTATAACGTAGTGTGTTTTTTGAATAGTAAATGCATAGATATATAATTATAAAGGCCCTAGTGTTTATTACGTAGCACTGACAATGCAATACTATGCACACAAAAAAAAGCGGCTATTTCCTATGCTTTGCTAATGTGACACGGTGCTGCCACCTACCAGTGGCCTAGCGTTCTTCGCAAGTTTTCATTTCCTGGTATTACGGCCAGATGGCCTCCAGATCTCACGCAGCGCCTCCAGACAGAAGACTTATTTTTTGACATTTGCAGCAAAGCATGCATATATGCGGGCAATTTTTATGAGTAATTTTATAGCAATGCTAAACAACACAGAACTGCACCACATGAGCTAGCATGCAACACCTTGGTGGATACGAAGAAGCACCAGCATGAACTACAGCAGAATGTTCAGCAGAAAAAATCAGATAACCACGAGAAAATAACAGAAAAAGGTAGAAAATATTAGATAATCACACAAAAAGAATAAATAAACACAACAAGAGAAATGCAGGCAAATCAATGCTCTGCAGTTCATACAGCCTTCACTTGGGTAGGAACTGGCTGAGTTACATTGTTTGAAACAAACATGTGAAGCCAAGGATAAGAGAGGGACATTATTTTTAGCAGGTAATTAAAATGTAGTTAGTATGAAATCACAGAGAAACGAAAGAAAACAAAGAAATAACTTATTGGTTTTCTCATCCATTTTCATTTTCTTTTCCTTGCTGTACTCTGATCAAATACTACAAATAATGCCCCCTATGCATCCTTGCTTTCGTTATCTATCGGATTCATAAGTGTCAAACAAGAAAAAAGATAGCTTAATTCACTTCCATCCTCTCACTTATTTCAAAGCAAGGATACCAACCCTGCATGTTTGATGCCAGAAAGTAGCATTAGAGTGTCTATCCATCAGACGCAAGCTCATAATCTAACGTGCTACATGATGCCATCTGTAGAAAAAATAATGCTGCAAATTCACTGCCATGGCTACTAGTGCCACTGATAGCTCTCCCAGGACTATGAATTGAAAAAAAACAATGCCCAACACATGTATAAGGAACAAATTAGGCCTTAATTCAGTTGCTAGGGTAACGCATGTGTAATGAAGAGATTACAGGTTTGGTCCACACCTGTAGCAAATTGTTTGTTCATCCCTTTTCAGTTCCTTTTACTTTCATAGTTACTACTCTTCAATTTAACACTACAAATAATGTCCTCTATGCAATCCTCAGCTGCATTATATGTTGGCTTTATATCTATACAAAGCATGCAGGTTTATATATATTTACACATGCCAATAATCTGCTGGATTTTTGCAATTATGGCATGGTGCAGCTTGACGCAGTGAATAAAAGGTCACGTAGTGCCAGTTGCCTTTGCAGCTGAGCATAGCAAGTCGGAAATTGCCACTTTTCTGAACGTGGCAATGTCCTTTGCTTAGTTCTGACTGAACTGGGGTCCTCTGACGGTGATGTTGCGATTGTGAGAAGAAGCAAAAAACACGATCAGCAGTCAGACATCATCAGAATTTCTTTTGTCCAGTGTCTGCAAGCCATCTTGAGTGACAAACCAAAATGTCAATGTAAGCCATTGCATTAACCTGAGTCAGAATTAGATTAAAATCACCGCTCAGACTTCAAAGGAGCAATGGCTTACAAAGTCAACTCCCACACTTGCAGTAAACAAGGACTTCAGGTATCATTTCTATGTCATGAGAGGGGACAAATTCATGTCTAACAACTAAACAGGTTAATTTATCCTATTAAGAAGTATTGTATGGCTTTAGTAAAATTAAGTATTAAGTCTTACTCTCTTAGTTTACTAGGTTTTTTATGTTTTAATGTGGAGCATATAAAGCACAGCCAAACTACTAATAGCCCTATGTATTTCACACAATAAAGGTAAAAAGTTTGGCTATTTGGCTTCCGTTGAAATTCATGTTTACTAGCCTAAAAAACTGACATAAATTTTTAACTGTGTCAGATTTCTGTACAAATAAGCATTAATTTCTTTCACACTTTTTTGTATAAAATGAGTATATTGGCAAACAAAACACACCTTCTAGTATCGTGTCAGGTGTTTGCTTGAGGCCATAATCTTTTCCATAAACATGGTATTTTTGCTCAGAATGGTCAAAAACCTGCAAAAAAAGGATTTATTATACTCACAAAATCACAACACAGGACTTGTCACAGTAGACTTATCAGTATATATGTTTTTTCTTTGTAACTAGTCTATTGCATTTCTTCACAGGTAAATTTGATCCCAATTCATTAAGTTCCCTTGAATATCTGATTACCACTGGCAAGTTAAGATTAAAATTGTTACAAATACCCTGCACTGAAATCTCTCAAGAATAACCAATGTATGCATTATGTTTCAGTGTTTCAGCTGTCATTTTCACAACTGAAGGCAACAACAAAAATAAAAAACTGTTGGTGAAGCTAAATGCTCAAAAAAGAGCCAATAATATGTCAATTTACTCACCCATATAAGAATTCTGTTGCATTCATGCTTCAGCAAGTTACAATAAAAGTGGCAACGTAATGCAAAAAGTAATTGCCAACTTTCTCATAATTCCTCAGTTACTTTTTCAATACAATTGATTGATGACTGACACAATGTTAAGTTATTGAGAACATCTTCGTGTTATGTCAGAAGACGGTTTTTCTACATTGTGTTATTCTGTTCTCTTCAATGTTGTCCACTAGTTCATGCTCTTTTACATCATTCATGAACACAGTGCAAAGATGCCATGTCTGTTTGAATGTTTAGATCATGCATAATGAGCCTTTAAGGTCATAGTATGTGGTGAGGCATAAAAAATTTACCAAAAAAAGAAAGCCAACAGAACGAAGCCACACCTTTAACAATAAAAAACAGAGTGGCACCTTTTGACCCTTCTCTGGCAGCCAGGCTAATGGTACACCAATAGTACAGGGGTGGCCCCATAATGACATCAGTAGTTCAAGCAGAAGAGAAGAGCTTTGCAAGACTGGCACAAGATAGCACACAATATTGACCACTGAGCTACTACCCTCGGAAATCATTAGCACCGTGGCTGGCCACTAACAATAAATCAAGGCCGAAACGGTTCCGTCAATGTGCCACCTCCACATACTGGTTGCACTTGATGAGTTATGAGCCCTGCCACACCAGCATCACTGCAGTGACTTGAGCATGACACCATCTTACATACTTTGGCTCATGCTCCACACATGTTTTGGCTCATGTACACACAACCTTTGCTAATTCTACATTGACAGGCCATCCCAGAAGTTTAACCAGCTAGACAGTCAAATGTGAGATGAGCCCATTGCTATGCTACTATCATGCATAGCAGGAGCTGCCTAAATGCTTTCTAGTGGCTGACCGTCTGGCACTAACTGCCTGTCTTCAGCTGGACATCAACGAGCATCTTTCCCTAGCTGTTACTGCATACTGCACCACTTGGTCTCATTTCACAGGTGCTTCATCAATACCATGGCCTCGCAACATTGCATTCACCCATGCTACCCACTTTGAGGCACCTATCTCAGCAACCTAGTCCAAGCCAGTGAATTCTCTACTCAACTGAAATACTTCTGTGCAATGAACATTTCAAATGGACTTCCAAAGATATTGTCAGGTGGATTTCAAGCACTATTCACTATTATACAGTCCAGCGCTCCTACACTGAACACTGTTCTGGGAAAGATAACTTTGAACAACCATGAATTATGTTTCACCAGCGCAACAAATCGCAACATTTCCTCTCATCAGCACGGAGACATTGTGGGCAACTTCTCTGAGGTGCTTTCAATGCCAATAACAAAAAATGTGACAACACTGCATTTGAGTTTTATCAGCAAGCAACAGCAGCCAGACCACGTTCTGAAGCACCAAGCTTCTCTATCCCACAGTTGCCTGGCCTGTGAAAGATTTACAGCAGCAATCCTACCACCAGGTTCATTCTTCAGCTGAAGAACCACTTTTACCTAAAGAAAGTGGATGACCAATCCTAGTGCAATACTTGGGCTATACTTGACAAGGAAATCCTTTTTCAGTACAAAGAACATTAAAAAAAATTGACATGACAAAACACTTTCTTTTCTTTCAGATGTTCTACACACTCAAAATAATTTTTTCAAGTATGTTGTACCAACATTTATGCTCCACTTTCCACCAGCATCTGCGACAACCTTCAATCTGGTAACCCCACGGCAAAGCTAAGGCCACCAGTCCTCTTTAGCTGATCTTGGTACCAGTGAACAGTTTGCAGATTCCTCCAAACCCACAACACCTTCTCCAACCTTGATGTATTCTCTCACATTATACATGCTTCATTACTGCAACACTGTTCTATCCACAACCCTCCCAATATCAATGTGAAATGCCAAAATCTTCCACTGCTATGCTAAAATGGCTGGATGCAAAGACCTTTCAGTGTTCAAGATCAACAGCTAGAGATCTCAACACTGTCCACACTCATTTTTGTGGATCATTGGGACAACGCACAAGCAATGGCAACTCAGCAGCAGTAATAACCTGCCCTTTTTTGCCATCTTCTAAGGCTGATGCCATCAAGCTATGTCCTCAACTCTGACAGGTCCCGTTGGTCACAAAGACCTACCACCACGAACTATCAGCTGTATTTGAATTCTTGATGTAGCACTAGTCTATATACAGTAAAGTCATTTAGCAGCAACATTTTACCATTCCATGCTTTTGTCAACACTGAGCCATTTTGCAAAAAAATTGTTCGTGACATCATCAGTGATGCTTGACAGTTCATCAGGAACCTTTTTTCATAACTCTAACAGAATTTGGCCAGTTTGTCTGGCTATGCTGGCCAAAACATATCACACTGAGTGTGCAGATGTTGATACAGGACAACATGTATGGCTTGTCGTGTACGGCAGCAGCATCACTCTACCCACAGCTATGTCCTTGATTGATTGATATGTGGGGTTTAACGTCCCAAAACCACTATATGATTATGAGGGACGCCGTAGTGGAGGGCTCCGGAAATTTAGACCACCTGGGGTTCTTTAACGTGCACCCAAATCTGAGCACACGGGCCTACAACATTTCCGCCTCCATCGGAAATGCAGCCGCCGCAGCCGGGATTCGAACCCGCGCCCTGTGGGTCAGCAGCCGAGTACCTTAGCCACTAGACCACCGCGGCGGGGCTCACAGCTATGTCCTTGAGCAGGCACTTAGTGCACAACAGTGCCAGCATACTTTCGCCAATGGGGTTGCGATGCAGCTTCATGCCCCCTTCCAATAATGTCCAGAATCTGTAACGCCCTCCTGCCCACAGTTTGTGTCTCTATGTCACAAACCACCACAAGGGAGAACTGTTGTACTCTTCAAATCAGCACACATTCCACCTGAACTTCGCAATAGGCACAATGAATTCTCGCTCGTGTATATATAACCTTTTTTTTTTCACTGTCACATTAATTTTGTAAATTGTGCTTTGTGCTTGGGGAAGGTTCTGCGATATTTAAACAATAATATTCAGTCTTTTGTGAAGAAAAAAAATAACTAAATGTGCTTCAAGTGAAACTAGAATAAGATAGAACATACTAATGCATTTGGCCTGAGCACTGAATTCAGCGGCTGCTTTCACAAATTGGCCGCAGCATGGCTGGCTTGTAGCAATAAGTCGTGGCTTATTTGCTTTATTTTTAAATAAAAGCAGCTTCCTTGCAGACTGTGCGTACAAAAAATGAATAGTGCTAATGTGAACCATGAAAGAACTTGGGTAAGATAGAGTAATGCACAGTGACCTAAAACACCGCAGTGCTGATTCATGCAGCTAAATGCTTTCACTACTGTTGAACATCAAGTGAAAATTAAGTTGTTGTTTTTTAACATTCAGTAGCACACTCCCACAGCAGGGAATTAACCTATTTTAGTGCTGATGTTTTCTCATCTTCCACATCATCTGTAGTTTTTTTGCACTTTATCTACATTGTAAATGTGAAGCATTTCTTTGCATACTGCGAGCACTTTTAGCGTCTGTCTGTCTGTCTAGCCAGCCACTTATGTCTGGGTGCTTTCGTGATCACCCCCCTTAACTTACCGTGAACCAAAATTAGTATGGAAGTATAAGATGGTTTGACGAGTATGACGCGCTGGCCATCTACGTCGTCAAACACTTCCCGCCAGACAGTGGCACATACCATCCCGCAGGTATGTGTCACAGGTGATTGACACTTAGTATCTACCCAGGAACGATCAGAGCACACATGTGCAATCTTAACGCACGAGTGTTAAGAAAAACCTGACATCGGAAGCATTGGCCAGACGAATGCAAAGAATAAATGTAGGGGTCCCAGTAGGAATTAAACCTAAGCATTTTGCATGGCAATCAAGCGTTCTATCACAAAGCCACGCAAGGTCTCAGAACTACTTTTACAGCGAAAGCTTTATGAGACCACTTCTCAGGTCAAGCGCAGTTGTCCGTAACCTGCGCCGGTGTTTGTAATCACATCGCGCAAAATTAGAAAAAAAAAAAAACTTTGCACCAAAGACACAGTGGGGCTTGAACACTGGTCCACTGGGTGCCAGCCCAATATTCTACCACTGAGCTACACCAGTGCTTATGACTTATTGTCAAACTTGCCTTAGGCAGGCTTGATGCCGGAAAAGCAATCGTGTTAATACGACTTTAAAGCGTTTTACACCAGCGAAAAAACAACCAGTCGTCCCACAATGCGAATAGCGTAACGAGTGGGCTGTTCAATGCTCCAAACCATCACAAAAGCTTGTTCTTGTTCCCTTATTAACTGTGGTGCATACCCACTTCAGCCATAATTCCTCATCGTCGTCAGCCACTGCATGGACAATTGGCACAAAATTCCTTGCAAGTGTTTAGTGGATACAATGCTTCTCAGAAGAATGACGAAAAATAGCATAGCATACGCCGGCCTACTACCCAAAAGTTGATGCCCTAGTGGATAACAAGCAAGTGTGCTTGCAATAGTTACCCAATGAGTGTTTTGAAAAGGCTCTGAAAGGTTGCTCTTTTAGCTTTTGCTGTGACTGTGCTGCGCCTATCGCCCAGGCCTGGCGTTTTTTTAATATAGACCCTAATGTTTGTGAAACGTCAATTGTGGTTGCAGTGCTGGCTATCCAATTTTATAAACTTTACTAATGCATTCCTATAATGCGTCGTGTTAAAATCAATTGTAGTAAGGTGCCATGCACTGAAGTTCACTTATGTAGCAGTGTCCAGGGCTTCCATCCTCGCGAGCATCAGCGCTTCATATCAGCTTATCGCTTCTAGTGTTGCTAATACTCATGTTCCTGTTGGAATCATTGGGCAAGTGCAAACACCTGGTTATATAAACATATGCAACTCTTCAAAATTTGTCTGTGCATGCAACATTTATATATATATTTAGCGTGTTTTCATAATGCGCCACTCAATAAAAAAAATTTAAATATGGCCACCATTCCTCCGCATGCTTTGCATAACGTCGATACCCAAAGTACATGGAATCTGCCGAATTTTTTTTCTCTTCCTTTTACTTTTAAGCCACATTGAAAAATAGTACACCAGTACTCACAAACAGGAATTTGTGAGAGCCAAACATCATCATTGCTTCCAAGAGAGTAGTTAGCACAACAGCAGACTGCAGACATGTGAAGATTAATTATGTAACAATGTTTGTGTTTCTTGCTTTGGGTAATTTTTCTGTGTGAATTGCAAGTGAAACATTATCAAGGCTTCTAGCTATTCATGGGCATTTTTTAAAAACAAATGAATTTAGTGAAGAAGTTTTATGTATATCCAGAGAGTTGAACACTTAGCAGCACGAGAATCAAATGCTCACATAACAAAAGTTGTAAGATAGTACCAGATATGTTGAGAATAAGTGATGTAAACAATAACATTTGAATCCCACATATTGTGACAAGCGCACACACACACAGCAGCACCCAAATGTGGAAATATGCACTGTTATGACTGGCATCTTTCCATTCATATTTTCAATTTTCAAGCCATTACAAGGGTGGATTTACATACCAGTCAGAATAAGTGATAGAGGGCACAGACTAAGCACTATTAAAACTGCATTGAACATGAGCTAGCATGAGCCAGTGGAATTGAGGGCCGCATGGCACCCGCCATGGTGGTCTAGCAGTTATGGTGCCCGACTGTTGACCTGAAGGTCAGGAAATGAAATCCCGGCTGTGGTGGCCGCAATTCAATGGAGGAAAAATGCTAAAGGCCGATGTACTTAAACTTAGGTGCAAGTCGAGGTGCCCCAAGTGGTTGGCATTTTCGAAGACCTCCATTAGGCCTCCCTCATCATCATATCATGGTTTTGGGACATAAAACCTACATAATTAATATTATTATTGGGCTGAATGGCATAAGTCAAAGCTGGTGGGGTACATAATGTTTTTTTCTGTTAAAACAAAAATTTAATTGCATAATTTAATTTTCGAAACTGCACAGTGGATTATGGAGAATATTATAGAGGAGTCTCTAGATTACTTTCGGGCAGGATTTTTAACTTTCCTTTTTGAGGGGGGGGGGGTTCAAACTATAGTACTGGCTTTCTCTAGCTCTAGGTGGAGGTGACAAGGGTGCCAGTTAAAATTTCTAGGAAAAGCAGCTGCTCCCATGACCTCCACCTGTCACTGCACTTGGTTTATTGAGCGCACAAACTATGTTATCTTGGCATTTTTGTCCCCATTAAAATGTGTCTACCATGACAAGGAATTGAAAATGTCACCTTTTTTTCAACCATACAACGCCATAGATGACGAGTCACCATGGCTGGCACTTAGCATTTTCTATGCTGAGTTATTAAAAGATTGAGCACATCACCCAATTTTTCTACCCAAATTAAAATTGCCCAAAATACAGTATTTACTCAATTGTAATGCAATCATCATGGTAATGCGAGGGATGATTTTTCATAGCGTCCAGGAAAAAAAAACTTAATTTAGAGTTCGATTATAACGTAAGGGTCAACATAGGTAGCAAATGTCTGGAAAAAGAACTCGCGTCACGTTACAGTGAATACGGCACTGATGTTAGTGAGCTGTCCATTGGCACATAGGAATTTCATGGTGAACTCATGCCACTACATTTTCTTAACTTCAAAGGGTACCTCAAGCGACTTCATTTGTTTTGTTCCTGTGTCAATGCATGTTGAGAAAAATTCCTCAATGCAGGAAGCAGAAAATATGGCCTTCCATTACGCCATTCACATGGGAAAGGTCTTCCTCAGCCATAAAAGGATTGTTCACATACATTTTGTCTGAGCTCTCGTGCTTTTTGGGCAAACCAGTTAACAATAAAAAAACTGTTATTAAATGTGGGAATTTACATGTCATGAATCTTACCCTCATGCCAAGGATACGAAAACCAAGCTGCCAGCCCCATCGATACTTTGCCTCTTCGAGTGCAACCTTCTCAGGTGGTGCCAATGGGTCATATGTTTGGGCACCTATCTTGACATCCATGACACAAGGCCTCCGGAACTCACGAGTCACATCATCCAAGCGCAGATACTCCACTTCTGCCAAGGAGGCATAGATCTTTGAAAGTAGCAGCCAGTAGGAAGACAGGTGCCCAGGCACAATATAAAGGTTGCTATATTATGAGAAATTACACATGCTGCTTTTCATGCAACAGTCATTGGAATGGACTGTACAAAGGTAAATTAAATTAAAAATGCAAACAGAAAAGCAGCAGCAATATCTCATATACAAGCACCTTGTAACTACATTGAAACATTTGGGTATGGACATGCTTGACCGACACACTAATGTGGTAAATGTTCTGCTTTTAAAGCAACCGAGCAGATACACTTCCAAGGAATTGGAAGCATTCTTAATTGCAACAGGACAGTTCTCAGAGAAAAACTATGTTGACAGTCATTCAGTGTCTCATCTTCTGCCAGCTATCATGCACCTTAATGCTGGTGAAAAATTCTTCAGGTCCTGTAAATCAGTATTCAAAGTAGGGGAAGGAAAGACCATGTATAAATATGGGCACACACAGCCCACCTTATAAGTCCATGCTTTAATCAATTCCTTTGCTTCCCCATTCATATAATTTTGGACATGCTTGACTGACACACCAACGTGTGTGTGTGTACGTGTATACATGTATATATAGTTTCTGGCACCAATAAATTCTATAACAATTTACGATGTACACAAAGACATTTTCAAAGCTCTCCTTAAACTTTTGTACACTTTTGTAAAGTGAGCCGTCCTTGCAGTGGCTGACTGTCATTCACAGCCACCTACATTTTTTTGCACTTGTTTTGATAGTGGTGTTGAAACTTTAGCAGCACCGATCCTGTTCAAGAAACCTGTACACCAGTGATATTTTCCTGTACACATGTAGTACAGTAAAACCTCATTCATTCGACTCGGTTATTTTGAAATCCCGTTTAATTCAAAATATTTCCGCAGCTCCGTATTTTGCAATGTAAGTATGAGCGAATAATTTGAAGCGCTGGTCAGCATCAGGCCGGTTAATGCGAAAACTTTGGGTGCCATGTACCAATTCCCGATCCCGATTTTGCCGCAAATCCGCAGAAACTACAGCCCCTAACAGCCACAAAGCAATGTAACGCAGCGGTAATAATGTGTGGAAGCTTAAGAAGCCCAACCTCGCTACTTCCAGCACAAAAAAGAAAAGAAAAGAAAACGGTCTCGTGTTCAACCAAAACGTGCGCCTGCGGAAAATAAGACATACTTCGCTGCAATACAGAAGTGACACGCCAGCAGCATATTGCATGTTTCGCGCAACGTCAGCGCGTCATAATTTACTGATTCTTTCTGTGATTGTAAAGAAATTAATGAAAGATAGTTTGGCGGAAATCGCGATGTATGCGAACTCCCGGCTGCCGTTCACTCCAGCAATTTTAGCACTAGCACTGCTGGCGGAGTTTTTTTCTGCAATGCCTACTTCAAAAACTAAGTTAGAAAGTTTCAATGATAATTTTTTTCCAGTCAAAACACATTGCTGATTTAGTCACACCGGCCATTATTAATTTACTTATTTTACCAGAAATAATGTGTGAATTACCGAATCATGACGTGCTGATGCAGCGAGGAGCAGGCCACATGCTGCCCGCATGTCAATACTGTGTTGCAGTGAAGACGTCTTGTTTTTTGCAAGTGCGCATTTCAGTTAATCACCGACAGCGTCATTCATCCTTTTTTTTTTTTTTTGCGGAGGAAGCAACAAGGCCCGCTGTTCCCCCGTGTTTGCGGCAAAATTAAGACGAGGTATTGCTAGAAAACATAACCATTGGAGCCGCAAACTAGCCGGCACAGCAAACGACCAGCCCTAATTACTTTGAATAATTCCAAGTTCTTTGCATCCCACTGTTTGTACGCTCTCTTAATTCGAAAACCCGCTTATTTAGAAGATTTTTCACGGCACCAGTGACATTGAATCAACTAGGTTTACTGTACACTGCTGGAATGAACTATGAGTAAGCATATATCCAAAAATTTTATACACTACAGCGATGGCTTTAATTTTCGGTGCCTCCCTCAACAGGGAACCAGTTTGGCTTTGAAACCCAGAGGAAAAGTGAAAGGCCTAGGCCTCTGGTAAGAGGTCATTCATTACCTCTTACCAGCTATAATGGTTAATTTTTTTTGTGTTCACGATCAACAGTATAGCTATTTTCACTTGCTATTAGTGCAGCTTGCATTCATTGTTCTTTTTGGCTTTTGCATTCAGAAAATATTTTTTTATATCTTTCAAGCAAGTTATTATTTTCAAGGCCAACTATTGATTTTCTGCTAAGTACTAAAAAAAAGCAACAGCAGCTGCATCTAGGTTCTCAAACTACATTTATTCTATTATTCCAACCACTTAAGAAACACACGGAAATGTGCTATAAAGCATGTAAAAAAAACAGAACATCAGCCACTCAACTTGGAATATGTATATGTGACGTAAGAAGGTAGCGACGGTTGGTAGAAGCAGAGGAGAAAGAAGTGAGAATGCAATAAACATGGGGTATGCGCCAGGCCACGTCTCCCAGCCATCATAGCGTCACACGAGTCGACAGGATGAAGACCTCCCAGCCACTTCATCAGTGTCTCATCATCGACGCAGTTCTACACAAGACGCCCTGACCATACATCGACTACGAAATCATCTAGCCGCACACAGCGACCAGCACCATGACAGAATCATCGACCGACCTTCCCATCCCCAAGTACACCGGAGCAGCAGACGATGGACCTGTACAGGACTGGTTCGACCTGTTCGAGTTCCACGCTACCGCTGCATCTTGGTCGGAACGAGAAATGGTTACGAACTTCAGCGACTACGTCACCGGTGAGGCATTTAAATTTTACCTCACCCACATATTCGACAACGATGAGTCTTGGCAAAAGATAAAACAAGAAATGATCGTTTGGTTTAAAAAATACAATGACGACTACGACGAAGACTTGCTTGTAACCCACCATCCACAGACAACTGCACTCAGTCGTCAATTTTACAGGCAGTCTTCAACCATTCCAACGCACAACAAGATTCGACCTCTGACAAAAGACGAAGTGGCACACGAGTTCAGTGGCAGACGACAACGCGTATTTTGGGAAAAACACAGCCATCGAGTGCGCCTCCCTTCTGCACGAAAGTCGGCATTTGCGAAGTCATCGCTTCAGCATATGACCCGAGACGTTGCCCAACCAACTGATGCCGTTCACTCTTCGTCTGGCATACGTGGTCCACCACCTGGGTTTTTGTCAAGCGGTTCTTCGAGCGCTCCTAACACTCCCCACTTGCCTTGTAAGGACGCCTTGCTCATGGTAGACCAGCTGACACATGGGGAAAATACCAAACAACACCAAGATCACTCAAAGAGTGAAAATCAGTCTCCATGCATTGGAACAGCTTACTCCCCGTCTCGCAGACTTGGCTCGCATCCTGGTTTTACATCACTTTGCTCTTTCATCGCTCACAATGCTCACCTCACGCCTCACTCGCCCACTACGGTTGGGAAAGAGCTGCGGAACTCCGAATCTACTCATTCAAGCCTAGGGCCAACCGTCTTCATTCATGCATCAGAGCAGCTTATCTCCCAAGGTGCAGACACAGAGAAACAGCCCCAAGTAAAATCTGAACAAACCAATCCTCTCGCAGTGTCGCCGTCGAGTTCCCAGCCACCCGAGAGACCAATCAACACAGGAGGCTTGGAAGGATCAACTTTCAAGCACTTCCCTGTGCCAGGAACGTCCATTAAAACTGTCGTTGCAAGAGCCTCAGCAGATTTTTCTGTCAATTCTGGCACACTATCTCCATTGCCTGACACGAATCGCGACACCCTAACAAGTATCGACTATTTACTGATCAAATCACCATGCAAAGAAAAGCAGAGAAATGTTCCTGAAAGATGCCCATCTGACCAACTTTCGCAAAAAGACGAGCAATTTCAGCAAAGGCAACTCCACAAACTCCAGGAACTACAACGGACACACCAACAAGGACGACGACGCAAAGCAAGCGTCTTAAAACAAATTCAAGAAGCAAGGCATCTTCGCATAAGGGATCGGCGCCAGAAACGCATTTGGCACAAAAGATCAAGACTGCGCCTAAGATTACAGCTCCGAAACCTCAGGAAACACCGAACAAGACAAGAAGTCACCAGTTCCACCACGCAAGAATTCAGACACCATCCCATTAGTTTACGACAACGAGCACGCACGCAGCAAAGACAGCGACGCCGAAGACCGATCTACTGCAACGCTTTCAAACAGCGTCCACTCTTCGCAATAATGCCAGCTATTTCATCAGTCTCCACGTCCAAAGCATTCTTGTGTTATCCAGGACGCAACCATCAGCCTCGCCCGCCAGATCTCTTATTGATATCACCGGACTGCCACACTCTCCCCTCAAGTCTTAGCGATGAAGAAGACAACACGTGCATTTTAAAATTTGTGAGACTACCTCTTTATTTTGACATTGGTGACTTCCAAGCCACTCCTTGTTTACTTTTTCTTGTTCGTAAGTTGTAACCCATGCCTTCTCTCGGGGGGAGCGGGAATCATGTGACGTAAGGAGGTAGCGACGGTTGGTAGAAGCAGAGGAGAAAGAAGTGAGAATGCAATAAACATGGGGTATGCGCCAGGCCACGTCTCCCAGCCATCATAGCGTCACATATATATACACATATATGCTAACTACGTCTAAATTAAGTTGATGCTAACCGCATGCTGTAACTGAAACTGCACTTTTGTTCTCGAATTCACTGTCCACACATTTAAGGCTGCTCATAAAAGATGCTATCTTTTTAAGAAAGTATATAATTTTTAAAAATTGCTCGTGACAGCTAGTGGCAGTTCTTGAGCTTGATTTTTTTGAAGTAGTAAATATTGTTGAATGGTAATATCACTTATTTGAAAAATTAGAATACATTATAATCAACTAAGTAAGTGAAACTTGAGAATTGAGTTTCTCATGGTATTATATTCAGTTCGCAAGCCATATTCACTTGGAATAAAATCTGAAGGTGGAGCAGGTTTTGTGACAAGCAACACCAAGCTTGCCATAAAAAATGTTTTTTGTTCCTGTCACTTTTTAACAAACAGCCATTTTGTGCACTGAAGCATGAAAGCAACTAGCGTCACTCTGGAATTCATTCAACATAAATATGCCTCGTCAATTCACCTGCCACAGAGCCTGAATTGTCATATGTGCTATGTAGCAAGTGTGTATTGAAAAAGTAGTTCATACACTTTAGTTAATTGACCAATGTATTTGGATCTCTCACACAAGCAACGTTCACTGCTTGGAGTAATCAAACTTAAAAACTACAAATATGTTATCTGCCACAGGCAAAACACACTCAGTTTAACAGTGATGTATTATCATATGGCCACCAAAGCTGGAAGACTGTTGTGTGCAATAACCATGGCCATATTACTAAAGCCAGCAATTTGCCTGGTGGAAGTTATGGTGTTTAAAAAGCTATTCATAGATGACATCAGCAGTAATATCTGCTGCATTTTGTTAAAAATGCCAATAGATTTGTTGTACACTATAGTGGAGGTTAGAATTTCGAATACTTATTCTACATATGAATTATGTTTATCTACACTTTCTAATTGTGAAAAAATGTCAAAGAAAGGTGTTGTCTCGGACTGTAGGACGACAAAATTTCTCATGGATTCTCTTCAATAGTGACATCAGCCAGGACTCAAAGGATGACACAGACTTCCTTGGAGAGCCTTTTTGAACCTAAAAGCTGCCCTGGAGTATGCTTTTCAGAGCCCTGAATGCAGCTTCTTCATACTGCAATGAATCTCTGACTTAAGCTTCAGGACCAATATTTTGGAGTGTCATCACAGTATAATGAAATGAACAAGTGATCAAGCACCAAGATGAGCTTGCAGGTGACCACATGCAACTTCACAATGTTCTGCCATTGCCAGATAATATAACAGGTGAGAATGGCACCAAAAAAGATTTTTGTTCTTATGCACTTCTACTCTCTATATCGACAAACACCTAGCAAGCAAGTTTGGCAGAGGAATACTTATTTCTACTTTATTGTGATTTTATGACCGAGGGCATACAGGCTTTCTTGTGTCCTCGAATTAAGCATTAAAGGAGCCCTACAAGACTTCTCCATGTAACCTTCGAATGGCTGCATGAAAGGCATTTACTGCGTCGCAAAATATTTGACAACTCGTCAAGTATAAACGGAGTTACAGGAATTTGTCGAATGCTGTTCTTGATTTCCCTGTTCTCTCATGCCGACGAGCATGCTGGAAGCTAAGCAAAGAGGAATGGCATAGGAGAAAGAACTTATGTCAAGTGCGGCTTACCTTCAGTGTGATCACGAGTGCATGCACCGGCACGTGGCAGCCCCTCACTGCGGCTGCTGCCACTATGCAGATCAAGATGCTTAAATCTAGGCTTGTGCGAATATTCGAATGCTTCGAATATTCGAACAAATAGTTGAGTATTCGAATTCGCTTCGGTTCGAATTTAAATTATTGAATATTTTCCAAGGATTCGCAATGAACGAATAGGTGTATATTAGTCCTCATGTCGCTGCCTGTAAAAGTGGTTTCTCTGCAATGTAGGGGTGTTGAGAAGTGAAAACACCTCATTAAAAAAATTCGCTTTGCCATGAAGCCCCTTCAAATTTAAAGGGGTCCTGCAACACTTACTGAACATAGTCAGAAAACGCTGTCGATCGGCAGTCGAGGTTACCGGGAACACGCAAGGCAAATATTGCAGCACAGCACATAGCCTGTAATTCACCATAAATTTTCAAAGCTAAAGATTTCTTTCTTTCCTCTGCAAATGACACTACAAGCTGAAAAATCCCTTGTCACAACCAAGAAGGAATATACGGCTCTTGTCACAGGCATTGGCTGATTCGAGTATGGCGCGCTCGTCATTGCCGGGGCCGTCGCTTGTCCACGAGTACGTGCGTGATCGCACTGAAAAGCCGCGTATTCAAAGAAAAAAAAAAAAAAAAGGTGCTCAAGGTCACGAGATGCATGTGAAGTATTTTCTTTCGCCGTGCCATTCCTCCCTGCTTACCTTCCAGCTATTCCGTCGAGACGAGAAGAGAGCATGCAATTGCAGCGTGCAACAAAGTTTTAAAACTCTGCTCGTACTGGATTATTCTAGAAACTTTGTGGCGGTAAATTTGCGAGGCAACAAACATCGTTACTGGCTCCATGGCTACTTGAAAAAGTGTTGCAGGGCCCCTTTAAAGGAACATGTCACCCTCAAATCAATTCTTCATTTTATTAAGCTTGTTATGACAGTTTATATGCTCCAAGTATAATAAATTTTATGGCGTTAAGTATCTTAGAGGTTGTCAATCGCATTCTACCGAAACTACTACACAAGGTTGTTTCGACTTCCCTTGAACGGAAAAAAAGAAAGACATTTGCATAGAGCCCCTATTTCAATTCAAAAGAAATATTGTGGAGGTTAGTTAGGTCATGACAAATATTTCCCTTTTTTTTATATGTCATACATACCATTTGAATTCGATTCGAAACTATTCGATCAAAATCACTATTCGCTTCGAACGGAAAATTTACTATTCGCACAAGCCTACCTAAATCAACAGATGGTCGTTAGTTTTGTTATATGGTGTGGTTATTTGTAGGTATGTTTGTAGAAAGAAGAAACGATTTCTAGCTGACTGGGAAAACATTCTTCTTCTGCTTGTTGACGGGATGCCTTCAAGTAGTATGCGAGGCATTATTGGTCAGCTGCCAGCTCATAAAAAAATCACATGCTGCGAGACACCAACAGGCAGAAAAAGATTGTTCCACACTCGCCACCATGGCTACTAGCAAAGCTAATTCCCACTCGCAGGTTTGATTGCACAGATATACCCCATAAAGTGTACGGGGTGGGGCAGGGGATGGCTACCGTGGTAGCTTGGTTGGTAGAACATCGGGCATGTTAATAAAAAATCACAGGTTCAGTCCCTGTTTGTAGCAAGTTATTTTTTCATCCACTTTTCTTTCTTCATATTTGCATTAGGTTTATTACTCATAACATGCCCTACACTTTCCTTGGCATCATTGTGTGCTAGTTCTCATTATTATTGTGTCTAGCAAAGAAAAACTAGCCCTTAAATTTCCCAATATTTACTACCATATTCAAGTGCGACGTCAGTTTTTAGTATAACCAATGCCATGAGGAATTGCTCATAGTAACAGCACCATTTCATTGCAAATCTAGCCACAGAAAGTAATGTTGGTTCTGATAAAATTACGCCAATATAGCACTAGCTCTAAATGCTAGAAGTGAAAAAAACACTAGCACATTAGGTCACCCTAACTTTTTGCGTTCCAATTCGTGATTACTGTACAAATACACAGACACTTTCAGATTTCCAGTATCCACGGATCAAGCCCAACTGAAAATCAGAGCAAACTTGCCAATACATGCATAGCTGGCAAGCTCCCTCAAAGCCAGATCGACTCACAATATACAAACACATAAGCAATACCAGCTTTACTGCTACGTCACCATTGCTGAGCCATAGAAAGAAACAATAAGAAGGACACACACACAACTGCTGTACAAATGTTAAATTAGTGCATCATGTCCGTTGTTTGTTCTAATTACTCAGTAAAGCATTTCACTTCATCTTGCACTAAGCAGTGCATGCATCTCCAAATAAGAATGAAAGTTTAAGACTACTTGGCATTATAAAGCAAGGAAAACCCCAATCATAATCCACAAAAAACATCCTAGTCACTAAAAGGTAACTCACCATACCACTTACTAGTACAGGTAGCGAGACTGACACCACGAGGCACTTTCAAAAATTATGTGCCTAACGAGCAAACAACTTAATGGCAAAAGATTACACGGTTTACATTATCTTCAAGAGCAATGTGCTCCTTTGCTTAATGAATACTACTATATTTTTCTCCAGCAGTTGGATGAACGAATCCTACCTTACAAGTTTTCTTATGTTATCAAACTAAACATACCTTCAATGCGAGTTGAATCTGTGTGGATTTCCAGCATTTATTAAAGGAGCATGTCCATATTATCAGCATTTATTGACTCCTGAGAAAAATATATATATATATATATATATATATATATATATATATATATATATATATATATATATATATATATATATAAGTGCAATAAGTATATAGGAACAAAAACCTAACCCATTAAGTTTTAAAACTTTTAAATATTACGAAAAAAATCAAGTGCTAACAGGTCAATTTTTTTATAAAGCATAATAAACACAGCCACGTAATCAAATGATATGTTCATACCTTGGCCAAGGTAGTCTGTTTTCCATGTTCCCAAGTACTTAGGCAGAAAAGTCCTCAGTGTGAGAAGGTCTGGTGGAGGTTCTCCAGCTCCAAAAACTTCTTCATAAAACTTGTGCTCTCGTAGCGTGCGCTTGTCGCTAGGTAACAAGGGCTTCAAAATAGACCCATCTTTGTGTTTCAGAAGACCTACAAGTATTGAGAAGAAAATAAATAGAGGAAGAACAATTAGTATGACTAATAACATAAAATACTCTCATATGTAGGGAGCAAAACGTGTGGAAACAGATAAAGTAGAAGTAAAAAAACACTTTCGATGTAAACCTGCCAGTTTTCTTAATTAGAATAAGTTCTTAGTCATAAATGTCCTTATGTTTCAGGCTATCAAATTTTATTGATTCACAAAATTGTTGCACTATAGCCTACTAATATGTAGTTATTTTTGAAAAAGTCTTAAAAAAGAAAAACTGAAAATACACACTTTACCCTACTTCACTTTTTTGCTAACAAAATTATTGAAAACAAAAGAAAAACACCTTTTATGTTGACTCCTGAACTTAAATATATCAAAATACTACATAGTAAATAGTTTTTTAGTGTTAATGTCATTGCATTTTATTATTTAATATAATAATGTACTCATTCTGTTATAACAACAGTTTACTGTTTTTTATGTGCCAGAACCACAATATGATTATAAGGTATGCCATAGTAAAGGGCTCCAGATTAATTTTGACCACCTGAGATAGTTTAACTTGCACCTAAATCTAAGTACATGATTGAATTCTTACATGTCACTCCTTTCGAATTGCAGCTGCAGTGGCCGGCAAGTGAACCAGTGCCCTCAAGCTTATCAGTGCAGCACCTCGCTTGCTCAGCTACCCTGAACATTCATTTAGTTGTGTGATACTGTATTTTGTCCGATATTCACCTTGCTCACTGCCTATCTGCTGTTGAGGTTGAGCATTTTGTTCCAGAGAGGATGGTTACATAATCTTAAAGCTTATAGCACAAAATCGATGAGAACAGGAAGGAACACAGAAATACAAAACATAGCAGCTTATTTTTTTTAAAACAGGGCAGAGCACTAACTTGCAACTAAGCTTAATTCAGAATGTTTCCTAAATATATACACAGTCAAGTAGCACATGCAGGCGCAATGCACATCTCATTATACAACGCTAATCAGAATCGGCAGCGCAACATGTATTCGGTATGAAAACCAAGTTTCTAAGAATAATTTTTCCATACACTGCAGCGCAACAGAAGCGTCACTAATACAACCACCTTCTTTCCTTTTAATGTGATAAGCCTCCATTAGCTCTTTTGCCGGTGCATCTTCACTTCTGCCCAGAATGCTAGACAGCACTGGTTTACATGTACAGGTCTTGCAATGCATAGGCAGATAAAACGTCAAATTATTTTCGACATATCGCACATGTTCCCGTGCCCGATCGTTGATACAACCGGTCTGTCTGATATAAACCTTTCCACAAGTGAGTGGAATTTCGCGTTTCTGTGTTCCTTCCTGTCCTCATCGATTTTGTGCTATCAAGATTTAAGATTATGAACCAACTAGCCCAGAAACACATTCTTTTAAGGATTATTACATTTTGTCACAGGTAGGATGAAAAAACACCTATGTATTTATGTCTCCATCACTTGGCCATATTCATGGAGCAGCTTTGAGAGTTATTATTTGAATTATTACGTTCTTCTTTTGCCCTCCACTGGCGTATATTTGCCAATGCATGGCGGCTATACTCCAGTGGCACGTATTATTGGACTAGGTGGTTCATGCTAAGCAACAACTGACTTCGTGCAAAAGAGAGAAAGCAGTCACCTAGTCTCCTCTTCATTTTCGTTTCTCTCTTTTTGCTATAAGTGACCATACACAGCTAGCTGTTGTTTACGGGTGCTGTAGCACGAAGATAAAAATGACTTACAGTAGTCTATTCCAACATCAAGAAAGTGGATAGCAACATATGAATAGGACACTACCACGCACTACGATCATCTTGAAATAGTATCTTTTGGGAGGCATGTCAACAGTATAGCTGTCTGCTAGAATACAGCTACACACTTCCAAACAGTTCTGTATGACGAGCATCAGTGGTGTAGCTAGAAGCTTTTTACAGAGGGACATCTCCGCGAATAGAAAGTGGGAGCTGGCAAGGTGGGTGTTATTGCACTTGGTTAAATAAGGTATCCTATGGTACACAGAAATTTGCAAAAGTGCTTGTGTCTAGTCTACTACCACTTGGCCATGCCAGCCCCCCTTCCCCCTCTCCAAGTGTGGTCACCAAGACACTTTACAATGTGAGACTCCAAAATATAGCCACAGTTGATTTTCCATAGCAATATCGTTCCAGCCAACAAAGTTTCATAACAGTGCAAATGTGCAGAAATCTCCCCTTTTTATGGTTTCAATGTGCTGTAAAAGGCAAGAAATTACACTTCATTCAGTGTCGCAGTTTGATTCATCAGCCCAAAGAACTGATAATTTGCACCTTAATACTTGCATAAAAAGTAATTCCAGTGTCAGCATAACTATTACTTTTTAGTCAAAATAGATGTTACTACTTTCAATGATGTTTGATGATGCCACTAATGTGATTTGTCAAAAAACAAAAAACATTGGCAATTGAAGTTGATTGATGCGTGTTCCCGAGATATATTTAACAAAGTCTATTGGCACCAGCACCGGGGTGCAAAAGAAGCATTCCCCCCCCCCCCCCCCCCCCCACCAACACTTACTTCCTACCCAAGCCACACAAGCGCTCCCCACCATGATGCAACACGGCTTAACACCCCTCAAGACAAAATTCTGCCAAAGGTCATAACAGAAGCTCTACAACAATTGGTCACATACAGCTGCTCAGGCAACGGAAAAGTTGGAGCAATACTTGTGAGCATTTTTCACAGATTGTGCCATACGAATGTATATTTATTTATTCATTTTATTTCATAATACTGTCAGCTCTCTCTTGAGGGCTCTTACAGGGAGGGTACAACCAAATACAAACCAACCAATATACATCTATGTCAGGTAGTAGTGCAATCAATTAATACATGTGTAACATTTTATCAAATAGGCAAAGACTGCCTGAATTTACAGCAATACCTGGCTACGCATTACAAGGCTCAAACACAGCTGGGAGAAAGAAAACAAAGAAACTCAAACCAAGGAAACTTGCAGGCTTATCATCTGCCAGCTCCATCACTCAAATACATGTCCAACAATTTTTCGAATTGGCAAAGATCGCTTGCATTTACTACAATGCCTGGCAACGCATTCCAAAGCTCAATCACAGCTGGAAAAAAAAGGATAACGAAACACATCACTCCGACAAGAGTACGGTACTAAAACACAGTCGTGATTTAGCCGACTGTTTCGTTTCCCTGGCATTTTAAAGTACAAATCTTTTTTAATTTTTAGTTGTCCTTGCAGTATCCTGAAAAGAGCTTTCAATTGTTTTTTTTTTGTCTTCGTGCCTCAAGTGATTCCAGTTCACAAAACTCCAACATATGAAGCGGACGGCGTGGCGTTGAACTTTTTCTAATTTTGTTTTCAGGCTGTCTTGATCAGGACTCCACACGACAGAGGGATATTCTAGTAGTGGTCTAACAAAGGTTTTGTAAGCTACAAGTTTTATATCTCGTGTAGCTTGATGTAGTTTTTGTCTTAAGAAACCTAATCTCTGGTTCACTTTCAAGCAAACATTGTCTATGTGTGTATGCCATGCCAAATTTTGAGTAAGGGTGACTCCTAAATATTTAAAGTGGTTAGCAAGGAGGAGTAAATTCCTGTCAATAGAATATCGAAAGTCTAATGGTATAATGGTCTACTGGATTCATTTGGTTGTGTCATTAATGCCAATAAAGACACCAGCTTTCATGGATGTTATGCATCTTTGCAAGTGCAGTGAAACAAACCCAAGAAAAGAGGCACGTAAGCAGGACAGGCGCTAGTCTAGCACCTGTCCTGTTTACATGTCTCTCCCTCTTGTGTATGTTCCGCTGTACTTGCTAAGATGCATAGGTTCTCCAACCACCCACTAGCCCAAATTTCTGCATTGAATAGTCTGCTTTCATGGACGAACTGCATGACGAATGAGTAAAGCTTTAAATATACTTTTGTACCTAACACCTCTAAGCAAGAGAAAAGATACTATTAATAACTTTCTCCCATGTTATTCACTGCCAACGTCTAAAAGAAGGATTTTAAAAAACTGGAAACTGTTACAATCAAGATCAATAGGGACTATATGAGCAACCTAATCTTTGCAGATGAAAATACTGTCTTCAGTAACACTAAAAGTAACACTAAAAACTGCACTCACCAAATTATAGAGGACTTAAGTCAAAGGGCATGTACCCAAGTCTAAAGAAGAGAAAGCAATTTTTAGCTGACTTTGATCATTTATTGTGAATTCCACGTCTCATGCTGAGCTATAATATTTGACTGGTGTATTCTCGGGAGCCTCTACTACTGATCGGCATCGTTTTCTGACCATGCTCAAGAAGTGTTGCAGGGCCCCTTAAAGAAAAAAAAAGTATATATATAATAAGTGGCGCTTTTGGAGCATTGATGCTGCAATGTTAAAACTAGTAAAAAAAAAGAAGAAAACAAATTTCGAGGACCTCGCTGCTCTGAACCTGCTGCCTCTGAGGACCTCACTGCTCTGAAAGACCTCACTGCTCTGAACGTGACACGCTAACCAGCTGCGCCACAGCCACTTTTTTTTTTTTTTCGGTCAAAATTCACACGCGGGGGACAAGATAAATATATTACAATACACAACAAACATACCAGAAAAATTACTACAGCAGTCTAAGCACTGCTATAGTACATCATGTCTTAAAATTCCTTCGTCAGAAGGCCTTCTACCCTTTCTAACCATTAAAAAAAACATTCATTTGTTCTTACTACCTCGAGAAACCTTGACATATTTTCTCTAAAATACTGTCTTGCTGGTCTCCTGTCAGAATTACAGTGAAATCCAGCCATTTGAGAGCACCATATAATGTACAAGGCAGTCATCATGAATAGGTCAAAAGGCAATTCATCATCATTCTCTATTGCTGAACACCCGATTCCATGAAGGTCTAATAGAAATTTTTTAGCACCACACTGTTTTAACACCACAATGTTGCATCACACTAATGAACAGAGCCAATTAGTTTCTCCAGAACATACCAACTTGGTCAATTAGAAATCATCTAGAAATAAACTGCGATAAAATGAATCTGGTCATTTTTCACGCCAAAGCGACAACCATTCCAAGTAATCTCACCTTGATGCTGAACAGAAACATAGAAATAATTAATGAAATTAAGGTGCTAGGAACATACTTCTGTAGCACATCACATTGGGACCAACACGTGCACTTTGTTATAAAAAAAAACTTAGCCATATCACAGGCATGCTTAATAGTGTCGAGGAACGAGAGGAGAGACGGCAGCGATGAGCCCGTGTCAATGACACAGCTTTATTTGGGACGCAGGCGTAGTCACTGCTGCAGCGTCCTTGCACAGCAGTGAGCAGCTAGCATGCTTGAGCGCTGCTCAAGCATGCTAGCTTGAGCAGCGTCCTTGCACAGCTCAAGCTAGCATCACAAGCCATGCGGCTCACTTCACCATCAGTGCGGCAGCTGGCCAAGACTGGCGTGGCGCTACAATAGCAATAGATATCGTCTACCAACACCCATAAAGCTATTATTCTATCACTCTATATTTGCAACTCACATCAATTACGCTCACCTTGTGTATAGGGTACTACAACTGAATCAAACCTTAGAAAAATAGACTTATTATTGCGATAGCAATTATATTACAAGAGAAAATTATACGCATAACAGCAAACGTAACATAGCAACATCACACTGAGGACCTCTTCAGGCAGTACATTCCCACTATTTTTTTTTTTCTACAATCGTTTCCTTCTTCGTGTATGGCACTACAATATAAGTTCAGAAAATAGCGTATTTAACGAAATAGCCTGTCTACATAAAAACACAGCTGCCTATACCACCCATCACAGTGAAGTATGATCTATACCCCAATCACAAACAAATTATGCCATGCAAATGTTAAAAAACAAATTACCCAGATTGCTTAATGCACTCGAAAATGCTGGTTTTAATACATCAAACATAATGCAGTCTCAACCAGCTTCACTGATTCAGTCACTCTTAGTGGTTTTTTTTTCTTTGTTTCTATAAATTATCACTGCTTTTATGAAGAATGTGCTTGAGCATGTATACAGTTGGGTTGTATGAAAGAGATTGTTTCCTCACGCCCACCTATATTTATGTTCTACACATTGTATATATTAAATTGTTTATTAATTTTTGCTTGTTTTGCATAATTGTTAATTATTGTTGATATCGTACTGAATGTTGTTGATGTCATCCTGAACTTAAACACATTTTTTGCCATCTCCACCAACTGCTGCCACCATATCGAAAGGAGGCCAAGAGCTCCACAAGCTGCCCAGAGTAGCTTTTTTTTTAGCCCATGGCTATGTATAAGAATTTTTACAATGGAAACAAAGAATGAATTGTTCTTTGTAATACTTCCCAAAAGTATACTCCTTCCAAACAGTGTAGGAAAATTTGGCCCATCATTTCCGGTTTGTTACAGATTAGACAGTAACATCCCCATGGCATATAATAACCACGCTCCTCCAGGAAGGTTTTCACAAGAAGTGTTTCAGTACGCAATTAAAAAAAAAAAAATTTTGCATTTGGAGCTGCCTGCATTTCTTTAACTCGTTGAAGTACATTCAGACTCTTACGTGCTGTACATAGTGCTCTATGTACAGCCCGTCTATGGGATGGGGAACACAATGCCACATGAATCTTTACACAGTTTTTTTCTTTCCAAGAGACCACAGGTAGTCAGTCGAAAAACGGACACTCAAAAACTGCACACTGGCCACAACTTCCTTCATGTAGCCTTGCACAGCCCCAATGACAACTTGAGTGCTCACAACAAACTCAGGCAACAGTCTACCTAGTCTCATTTGACACACTGTTAGCATGAAAGGATCCCTTGTCTCACAGGAAAAGAAAAACCCATTTACTAACTGCTTGATAAACAGATGTCCTAGCCCAAGGCCTCCACACTTCACCTGTCTAAACAAATTCGTGTGACTACACCTTTCCCAGTTGGACCGGCCCCCACACAAATATTGCAAACACCCGATGTAACTTTTGCACATTGACCCAGGAACAGTACAGCACTTGCATCACATACCATATATCTTGAACACAGAAAGCCAGTGAATACAGTAGTCCCAGCAAACATGGACAGATAAGTTGCTTTGGACTCCCTATTCGCATTCTTTTTTATTTCTTTTGTAGCTGTTTCCAATAATAATAATCAGTACTTTTGTATTACTCGAGCGGAACTCCGAGATATTTAACTGGAGTTTTTGTCAATTTGATAGCCTTCAACCCCAGAATATTTCGCAGCCACTGCGCCACAGTCGCCATTCGGTGCAGTGGGTTTACCAAGCCGGTTTTGTATCGTTTTCACGCTGTACGTAACTTTGCTATTTGTTATTTTTACGTCTAGACGTAACTTTGACGGCTTCCAACGTTACGTCTAGATGTAACGCTAGACACTTCGCGAACCGCTAAAGGAGCATCTTTTTTTTTTTTGTTTTTTTTAGCCATGAACCCGCAGCCTCTCGCTAGAAAAATAGGAATGCCGCTAAGTATCGCACAGAGTCCGTTTTAAAGTTTTATGCAGTACAAACAGTAGATCCTTCATATTATACACTCTGCACAAGACCACCTGGATACTTGATTAAAGCCAGCAAAAGCACGGGGAAGCGGCACACGCAAACACCGCTGGAATATCGAGTATCATGAACCAAGTGGCCCACAACTCTTCACCACCTGGATCTGACAACACCGGGGCAAAAACACGTCTAGGAGCGCGAGCACAACGACAATCCATTGATAAGAAGTAAATCAAATGTCAAAACAGAACACCAATATGCTACTAGAGCCGAGTACTGACAGGTCCGTTAAGCATACACGTCACATCGCCAATTATGTAAACTAGATTCTTGTAATAGGTGCGCTTTAATGCGCGACATGAATTACCTAACTTGGTTTTTTTGTTTCCGTGAACGTGTCCGGCGATTTGATAGTCGAACAACGACGTTTCCACGGGCAACGGAGTTCCCACATTCATGGCCAACTTCCAGAAACACGCAACACTTTTGCCAGGAAGTATGGACGTTGTAATGAGCTGTATGAAATCTGCGTTTCGCAAAGAAATGATTCTGCAAGCGCTCTACAGCTACAGCGCTGAATAAGTTAAAAATCACTAAGGCATGCACTAAGGCAAATGTGTTGCGGAACTGAAGCTCAGCAGGCCGCGGAACGGCACATTTTTCAGAGCCTAACCAGGTGTTCTGTGGCCTAACCACAGAATACCTACCAGAACACCTACGAAAACCTCTAAATAAAACAAAAAAGATGCCAAATCTCTAGTTGAGGTTTAAAATCTTTATATTTAGGGATAAATCTCCAGGGTTGGATTCACTGGAGTAGATAATGATAAGGAAATGAAAAATCAAAACATTAAAATGAGGCATTTTCAAAATAAAAAAAACGGTACGCGTGAGATATTGATTAAAAAAATAAACATTTTTTATTATAGCATTTGACTTGGCGACGTAGCATCAAACATATAAAAACTAGTAAAAAAGTAGCTAATTTTGTCACTAAATAATAAATTTGCTAAGTGTATTCTTAAAGAGACATTGCTTAATTTGCATGTGCACCCTTTAAATCTGCTGAAACTATCAAACGTGTATAGTTTGTATTTCGAAGCTATGGCGTGCCCGTTACTATTTGGTGCTTTCGGTAACTTCGCCTAACGCAGTGCGTTACCATCACCGATTGAACCGTAATGTTCGTGTAATAAAAAACAGCTGAAGTAAAAATAAGCCACTACGATGAAACGGTGAAGTCCAGCCAGTGTGCATGTGAAGGGGAACCGCTTCTCATAGCTCGTATCAATGCAAGGTGGTATCGCTTGCACTTCGAGTACGACAGTAAGGCAACAACGGCAGCAACGATTGCACCAGTTCCGTTGGTGTTTGTGCGTTGCGTAGCGGTTGAGTAGCTGTAGTATTCTACTCTATCAAAACCCAGTGGCCGTGTAATTCAGCGAGGACACGGTACTGCAGTTTGAAATCAAGTATTCGTCGAAATCATTGCTACAATGGGAGTGCCGAAGCTCTCAAGCGGAGCTGCGTGCATATTGCTCTGGCTCTTCGTTGTTCGTATCGGGCAAGGTAAACTAACGCATGTGCTTCCTGTCATATATATCGAAATTTCATACCTTGCATGCTTCGAAGGGTTCAGGTCTAAAGTTGGCACCTAATTTCTGTATTAAGGAGGCTTTGACTTTCGCTTGCACGTACGCGTGCAAATATGTCGTGTAAACATCCCCCTTTTTCGAGGTTTCTTTCGCGAAGTTAGCGTTCGAATGTTGTGGTGTTGGTTAATTTGAATTGGAGGCATACAAGCGCAACTAAATGCATTCAGACAATTTATAACGTTATTACGACCTTTCTGGTGATTTATAGCGTACACATGAACTTCTTTTTTTACAAGTTCTGCCTTGACTTTTTTCTTTCTTCTTTTTAACTGTAGGTTAATGTGTGTGAGGCGGAAATGCACGTGCATAGAGTACTTGTGCATGTTGCGTACGTGAGTGATCACGACTCTTTTAATTTTGTAGCAAAACAATAAGACGCCTCGATTCCATTCGATTTGCTGTGCTAGCATATCGAAGACACGGAGGTTTAGTATTCATGGCGCATTGCTAATGCAACGAAAGCCATGTATTATTTATTTATTTATTAATCTATTTATTGTTTGAGCTGCAGGAAGAAAACATTATTCGCAAGGGTTGGGGCCAGCGGCCATGAGCTCGAAAAGTACCATCAGTTTAGTTTTAAGTGACAAAAATAATTGACATGGCGCTTTCAGATTGAAAACTATCTGGAAGTGCCCTCATGAATGGTTCAGTGTCAGCCCTCTACAACAGACTTCATTATGGAGCTGCGTTAAGTAGAGCTACGGTGCATCGAGCAGAAAGAGCACAAAAGTGCTGGCACTTATTATTATTTTCGTTCTGCATCTCGAAATATATAAAAATGCTACAAGGGGTAAAGAAAAGCACAGGAAATACAAAGCATGAAGTGCAAGAACTTGGGTGGAAGTCATTCATGTGAACAAATTGGGGTCCGTGGGAAGTAATGACACTGAAGATGTGCTCATGCGTGACACCTTTCCCAACATTGTAAACTTAATAGCTTGTGGTGATTGAACATTGTTTCACAGCTTTATTGAGAGTGGGTCAGTGTCACTAAAACATTGAAATGGGCTTTTACTCTTCTATTGCGATAATGTTCCATCAATTTCCTAGTGTTTTTTTGGCCTGCTTGTACTGACTGATATCATCATTTGTTCTATCAATTTTTTAGTGTGTTTTTGGCCTGCTTGAACTGATTGATATCACCTTTATGCCATACAATGGAACACTAGTTCTTTGCTGAAAAACAAAAGAATTGGAATGCTGGCTATTTCTGGTTGTGTTTTAGTATTAATCATAGGTGGCTAAATGTACGGTGGCCAGCTTTCCGGTTCTGATGAATCCAGGAGGGGAGATCCTCCTTTTTAAGACAGCAGTAAAGTAAAAAATTATGCACGTACTGCTGTCCAAGTAAAGGGATGGCCCCTATATATATATATATATATATATATATATATATATATATATATATGTATTCACTTTGCCTAGTTTTCTCTTCTCAACACTAAGTGACGTCATGTCGCACGAATGCATTCTATTACTCAAGATAACTCAGGCTCAAAGCAATTATCGAAGCTATTGATGCACACTGTCGTATGACGCTTGCCAGACCCTGAAACACCCTGTGCTGTCATTTTTTTACGAAGCGTGGCATTCTGTGCTAAATCAAATACAAACGGCACACTTCAGTGAAGATTTTTTGTTTTTTTTATTCTGTATTAGTATTCTCAATGTAGGGATAGGTTAGAGAAAATGGTTGGGCATCTATTGCGAGCTTCAAAAACTTGTGTTAAGCAGACCCCACTGGCATCTATTTACTAATGGTATAAAAATTGGTTGATGGCATCTTGAGGGTACCTAATTAGAGACATCCAGCAACAGTGTAGATCAATTCAAGCATCAATTTGGCCATTCAAAATCTAAGCACTAATGAAGCGAAGCTTTCCTGCATATTGTGATGGCAAGATGACGACCACACAGCCCTCCAAAGTTATTTTTCAAGGTCTTGTTCAACCTAATGCGAAAAAGCTAAACTATAGGTATGGTGGCTAGAAGGAGAGGTGTCAGCATCGTCCCGGCCGCATCTTGAAAGGGTGCGTGCTGGTATTTCATCTCGCCGCGGAGCGGCGCGCAAGTCGTCACCGTGATCGGTCGAGAGCGCTTGCCAGCCGCTTTTAGTCGCTTGCTTGTGTGCTTGCAAGTTGCAACGTCTGCGCTTTGCCGATTTGGACTTTTTCGGGATTAATACATGTCAATGTGACCATGCAACAGTGATGAGTAAACAGCAAAGACACTGCTTTGCACCTGGATGCAATGTGGGATATGCTTCGGCCCGCAAACAAGGGAAGAAAGCGTTTCTTTTCTTTGCTCCCACTGACAATGAACAGAGCAAGGCCTGGGAGCATACGATTCCTCGTGCTGACAAACCACTGGAAAAGTACTGCGTTTTGCGCGAAGCTCATTACGACGAAAGATTCATCGTTCGTAGTTACAAGCATGTTATCAACTGGTTTTCAGCAACTTGGGAAAAAGCTGTACCGAAGGAGGGTGGGTTCCTGAGTGAATCAACTGCCGAAGGACTCCGCGTCACTCTAGCCAGCATCCATCCGGCACTATGTCACGAAAACCTTGGGCTATAAATATAAACACTTGATGACATCTCGTCTCTGCCAAGACGCACTTGAAATCTTTTTGGAATTCCAAAGCAAATGTCTGTCTCAAACGATCACCTTTTGCCGACACAATTTTTGGTCTCTGTGACTTGCCTCAGTTTTTACAGTTTGTCACAGTCACCCCCAGTGGAAACATACCTTCTGGAGTTCCGAGCAGCCTTCTATGTCCAGGCATCCACAATAATTCAATAAAATTGCACAATAAGCTGGATGAGCTGCTAGATGTGGGGCACCTCAATGAGGTTCATGAAATTATTGCTGCTTGTGAACCCCTTCCTGACTACACTGATCTCATTGGACGCAAAAGTGACTCCCAGATCACTTATTACGTCAGTGGCTATGTGGCCCGGAAGATGGTGAAAAAAATGAAGTGCAACGAATGTAGCAGGTTGCTGCTTCACTCAGAATTCCAGCTTGCTTCTGGCAGAATCTTGCTTTCTGTACCCGTCTGAGTCCTTAGCAGACCTGGTGAAAGCTATGGAAGATGCACTCACCTATTGCTTCAGTTTCAACAAGTTGAAAAGTGACAGCATAACAGACCTTATCTCTTGCCTGTCTGTGAAGAGGTTAAATATGGTCGGCTGTGAACACCACAAACTGGAAGTGACAAATCAGATAATTCGGTTCTTTACACTGACCAGAATGCATTTTCTCTTGCTGGAGAAAATTCGTCCAATCAACAAAAAAGAGAGAGAGAGAGAAAATGAAGATCTTGAAGTTGAGACGTCTGGCTTACCTGTCACAGTATTAACTCAGCGAACAAGGTTCTATTTTATGTTACTGTGCATTACTCACACTCTGTCGTTTCTTGGATTTTACTATTGTCTTGTTCACAATGTTATAAATCCCACATTAAAAACTGTGATATCACTGTCTGGCTGTGTTCACATATGCGGAAATCAATTTTTTTTGTGAACTGGTTTGTGACTGTATCTATGTTTGCCAATGAAATCTCAATGTCAAGTGTGTATTTATGCCCATTGTATCATCGTATATTTACTGTTCTCTTTAGTAGCCTTATTCACTTGCTTTAGCTGAGTTTCATAAAACTTGCAGTTTTCTTCACCCTAATGCATATGTTGTGTTTATTTTCTGTTGTTTTTTGCCTTTGAGAAAATAAATGTCTTGCTGGTAAAATTAGACCTTGATTGCGCCAGTCATAAAAATAATGGTTGCCGATACCTTTACATGCATTAAGACTTTATGGAGAACACTGCGGCATCAAATTTGAAAACTGCACGAACTTTGTTTTAGTGTCAAGCTCACGGCAAGTCACTTGATTCTCTATCTTCTAAGCTTCGTAGCTCATATACTAAGAAGTGAATTGAAAACACTAGTTTTCAGTGCCAATACACGCTTTGCAGCGCACCGCCAGAATTGTGACTGGTAGACTTTGTTACAATCCGCAGGGTAGCGTGAAATATTTGCGACGAAAAACGACTGATACGTGCGAGGAGGGGCATCTCGAAAACGACCGCAGCGCCGCCGCATCCGGATGAATTCTCGCGCGCTCTCCGGCGCACCGATGCCGACACCTCTCCTAGCCACCATACTATAGGGTTGGCAGTCTCAGAGTGGTACTACTTCCAGTACACATGTCCATAATTAGATAGGGACCTTTAGTGTCAGAAAATTTGGTAATTTCGGTTCATTCACACTGTTTATTCAAATATTTTTCGTTATATCTGGCACGAAGACATTGATAATGATGATTAAAAATGAAAAAAAAATTCACATATCTAAAGATCTTCATATTACCATTTATTGGAGGCTACCCATGATGAATCTGTCATGGCTGGTTAGAACCAAGATCCTCAAAATCTGTTTGTTGCATCTTTCATGAACAGGAGAGGTTATGCATTCATAAGTGTACTATCAATGTCACTACTTATCAAGGAATGCTTCTTTAACATCTGTGACTGGAACTCATATTGTCCTTTTATTTCTGTTTTGTACACTTATCTTCTCCTTCTGATACTTTTATGTATTGCCTTGTGCACAATAAAATTTGGTAGACAGCCACTGCTTTGTTCATTTCACCATATTGTTGTTCTGTGGGCTCATACTCTATTTAGCTATAACTTGACCAATCACCCATGATGAGCACTTATTTTTTTTTTTTGCATCAGGAAGCCATTTGCTTGCAGGTGACTTGCACATTACTTTCTGGCCTATACTGGTTCCCCTTACACCCTGCCGCGGTGGTCTAGTGGCTAAGTTACTTAGATGCTCACCCGCAGGTTGCGGGATCGAATTTCGACTTGGGCGGCTGCACTTTTGATAGAGGCGAAAATGCTGTACC